TATTTGAAAAATTTAAAAAAATGCTTTCTCTTGTTTCGTATACCATCACACTGAATGACTACACAGAGACACCTTTGAGACTAGATCATTTTTCGTCAGCCATTGATTACAAAAAAATGACGTTCGACTTTATCTCTTTACATTGTTTATAATTGGAGATCTCATTAACATACATTTTTATTTTTAATAACACATATATGCGGGCGCCGAGAGATTTGTAGATTGAAAAACTCAACCTCTTTATGTACAGACGTTTTTAATCCAACAGTTAAAAAATTGATACTGAATTATTCAAAGACAACTGCGACTGAAAGACAACTAAAGCTGCAATTGTCTAACAAGTACCGCAATTTAAAGTTAGGTGGGATTAAAGTGAGCGAAGTTATACACCGTTTAAATACGGACAGCGCTTACAGGAAATGCTCCACTCTAAAAATATCGATTTTGTGATAAATACAAAATTAAATAGCTCAGCCTGTGCTCTATTGAACGAGCTAATTTTGTCGTCCTAGAAATGTTTTTAAGGGTTTTCTAGCGAGTTTTCTGGAAGCCCTTTCCAAAGAAAAGCATTTTTCAAACTTTCTTTTGCTCTTTAAAGTAAAAAGGTATTTCACAGATTTTTCCTGAGCCTTACATCAGAAATTTGATAATTTTTTTCAGTTAACCCTTTCCCACGGACCGCGTAGTAGAACGTACCTAATTTTCTGTGATTTTTTTCTGTAATCATAAAATATCGACAACCGAATAAGTAAGATTATTAATTATTGAATTAGAGAAGAAAGAATTTTTAACCGTGGGAAAGGGTTAAAGGTATGACCTTTGGGAACAACGTAGCAGAGCCGGAGTTCTAAGTTAGATCTTATTTTTTTCATCAGGCAAAGATTTCTTGAAAGCTCTCGAACCATTTTGCAGGTTTTTGGAATAAAATGCGTACAGCTCACTCCCGAATAAAAATCTTGAAATCCAGCTATGCTACCTTATTCCACTTTAGCATCTCCACAAGTTCTCTAGCTTCTTTATCGGGCGCGAAATCTTTATAACGCCATCTACGCTTTTTTGGACTCTGTAACAACTACTTCATGATCGAACGCTTCCGTAAACATCTTCCGCTAATCGATCCTTCAGTGAATGTTTCATAATACGAATTTAGATGATTTTGGTAGTTTGTGATGGGCGTTGAGGACCTGTTTGTCTATCAGGTTGTCTTACTTCTAGCCGTGTTAAAATTCACTTCTTAATTTTATCAAGTCATGTTTCACAGTTCATCTCATTGTTTTGATTTTGTACTATGAGATATGATGTTTGCTTTTCATGTAACAGGACAATATTTTCTGCAAAAAAATACTTCTTTTTTTTTTAAATAAATTTTTTTCTTATCATTAAATGATGGGTGTTTTCTCTTTGCTCTGTTCTCTTTCTCTGTTATTAACTGGAAGCCCTATAATGAAAATATTCGTATTCTTGTTGTTGTGGTTGTCAGCAGTCACTCAGAGAAAATGGAAATAAATTTCATTGTAGTCTTTGATTACACCCAAACACAAAATTCTTTTTTTGTGTTAGGTCTCTTCAGTTTTGAATAAGGTGAGAAAGTTAATCAATGTGGTTATTAATCATCTCTGTTCTACCATCTATTCCGAATGAAATGAGCAATAGACACTTCTATTTAAACTTTAACACAAAGAGAACATTTCTCGACAAATATTTTATATAAGGAGTGAGAGTTTTTTAATTTTTCTTTTTGTAAATAGTTGTTTTCTTTTGATATCTTCGAAATCCATTTAGAAAGCATGATCATACCGCAAGCATATTTCTTTTATAGAGAAAATTTGTTTTGCATTTTTGATATATGAATCAATGACTTTTTGTGCCGGTATTAGCTAATTAAGACTTTATGTGAATGATTTAAAGTTATAAGACCAACTATTCATTCACGCGAGATGAATATAACGCTAAGCTACTGTATTCCGATAGTAAAAAAATCTGTCACGAAGAAGTTGTTACTTACATTTGACTTAATGAAGGACATATTTTCAGATATTGTGAAATCATGTGCTAACACCAGCAAAAATCAACGGGTGATCCACATTAAATTGGCGGTTTTTAACAGGCTGTTTTCTCAAACTAGACTTGACTAAAAAGTTTGGTTCTGATGCTAAAAGATAGAGGATTTTGTGCAGATTTTATTGATATATTCTCTTCTAAATAAGCATGCACAGTTCATTTGTAGCATTAAAAGTATCGGATGCCACACATCCTTTGCTCAGCACTTGACTGGAATAAAATGGCATTTTTATTTGTTAAATAAGTTACACAACATTGACACAAAATCAAATTTTTTGATTGAGTTTTACTATCTTGAAAACCGCCTACAAAATATGCCTGATTATCGATTTTTTGGCTTACTTTCATGCCTATTCAACTTCGTCATTCGATTAGAAAAGAGATCAGCCGTTATAAAGAAGAGCATTTTTGTAGAGCTTTAAATTCTGCATCTGCTTACATATAGAGGATAATTTTTGTTAGGCCAGGCTGTGAGAAAATTACTAAAGAAAGGTAGGATGCCATGGCCCGTGAAAACTTCTTTTTTTATGTGTTGTAGCTTTCGAAGGAGAAGTAAGTAAGTTTATCTTGGAGTTTCGATAAGTATTGCTGATCGACGTTTTCGTCGTTTTTGTGTTTTATATTAGGGAATTGCGTGCTTTTGCCGTACTGCACCAAATTTGATGATAATAAGGTGGCATATGCAGAATTTGTCGGTGAACTCGATAGCGGGTTTCTTACATCTCTATTTCGACTCCTTCTCTGACGTCGACACAATCTGCGCCAACAAGTTTATCGCACGTGATCTCAGGAGTGAAATCGGCAAAATAGACTTGAAAAGAAATCATCGCTTATGAATACGCGTAATTTTATGGAAATCTTACGCGTGACCTTGTGTGTTTATGTTGCGACTACATGACCGCGGCGTCGTGAAATTTCAATAAAATTACAGGAAGATTTGCTGATAGGATCAAACGTGATAATGAACAGTTTATTTCTCATACTTCTGTGTCTTCTCGAGTTTTACTCGTAGACGAAAATGACAATAATGATCCCGACCTTTCTCAATTGCTTTCTGATTTTTTCCTGGTAAATTTAAAAAATGGTTGTGTGACGAAGCGAAGAAGGAGCCGCATGTAGCATTCAGTTGTAGCTTTCGAGAGAATGTCTTGTTGTGTCATTGTTAATGATTAAAATTTTTAAGTATAAAGAAGCAATAGCTAATTCCGATTCAAGATTACAACTGAAATTTACTGTGAGATGAAAATTTCAATTAAGTTTTTGAGGATTCTCAACTTGAGAGCTGTTTTGAAGTGTTAAAGCTGTTTGAAGTAGTGCTGTTCTTATTTAACAAATAAAGAAAACAAATCTCTCTTATTCTTCGAGGCTATTCGCTTTCACGCCTTTTTCCACTAGAAAAAAGATTAAAATATTACTGTGCTCTCTGCACGCTGATTTTATATTCTCTTTAGATACGTTTTTCTATTGTTACAAGTGATTCAATGATTATGTCATACTTTCAACGTCAGAGTATAAATAGTCTTTAGAATTCATGGCACACCTAGGCTTCTTTAGAGAATTAGGTGCCATTGCCGCGTTGCACCAAATTTGATGAAAATAAGGTGTATATGAAGAATTTCTCGATGAATCTGACAGCGGATTCTTCGTAATTCTATTTCGACTTCTTCTCTGACATCGACACCACCCACATCATTTTTGCCTAAATTTTGGTTCTCTTATTGGCATTAAAGCTCAAATATCTATTGACAAGTATGGCGAGTATGAAACTTATGTATCAGGGGTAATCCATCCCAAAAACCCTAATGGAGCTGTCATGCTCTTCTAACGGTCTTTATAAAGTCTTTTGAGAACTTAGGATTATGGTTGAATTGTTAGTTTCACAGACTTTTCAGTTGATTTGGCCTAAATGCTGCATGGTGTCGTCTGTAAAAAGTATTGTATTGAATGAATGTTCTAGACATATAGAGGGAAGAAACAAAAAAATCTGTCGGCTCTCTTTCCTGCTCGCATACAGATCAGAATGAAAACAATAAAATTTTCCAATCACCTAAGCCTTTTATTGGAAATAAAGTTCGTACATGATCATCACAATACACATTGCGAAGAATGTACAGGTCACAAAAAAGTGCGTTGCGAGAAACTGAAAATTTATTTTTCACTGTCATTCAAGACAAAGAAATTTCCAGACCAGTCTATGCCACATTAAAACAACTTAAAGATTCGGCTAGCTAAACAACACTGTTTAACTGATACCGCTGCTCTTATGTTTAAATCTAAACTTGAACCACACGAAAATCGAGAAATAGTATTTCTTGACTTGAATTCTTCTACAACTTGAACTTGATTATTTAAAAGAAGAGTGTGGAAGGAATCCATTGCCGATTCTCAGTCGCAGATCCGTACGGTCACAAGTACCTTTGAAGCAAAAGAATTATTTCTTTCCAACAACACTGTCTCAGAAAAATTTGTTTCCATGGCGGCCGCATGTACCAAATGTTTCTATCGTGTACCGCACGTACCAGAGAAACATTCTAGATCCGCCAGTGCCGATTCTTCCTGAAGGCTGGAGTATGTTAACCGATCGAAAAACAAGATCGTTTGACAGAAAAACAATAAATTATTGAATATAAATTATATGAATGAAAAATTTGATGATGGAATAAGACGCAAAATGAGATATGGAAACCAGAAACAGTTTTATCTGAAATGTACAACCTAAGATGAAAAATTCTGTTTCTCATTCGATGATTTTCTCAGATCGTTTTAAATACGATATTATTTTTCTTCTATTGGATCAAAATACAGAACATTCTGATAAATTCAGTTGGAGAGAAAGCCGACGAAGAAAGGTATATGGTGTCACAAAACGGTATCTGACATCATTGATAGATAGCAATATCTTAAAAGGTGACCCATCATTTGCACCGGCCTATAACTGTATGGGTATTATTTATTCTCGACAAGGTCTAAATAGTGGCGCACCCAATTATTTCAAACAAGCATTGAATCATCAAGCACTATTAGAATATTCACATAACAATGCACTAGCTGATATTTATAATAGTATTGCCTATGCTTACACTGGACTAGATTCAAATGACGAAGCATTAGCAAATCTACAAGAAGCTGAACGAATATTAACACGAGAATATCTTGCATCAGCCTTTTGGCAACATAGGCGAAGTCTGTTATGTACTAGAAGACTATAAAGAATCAAGAGATCCCTACCAAAAATCCTCAAAAATGGTATATATCAACGATCTGTGAAAAAAGCTCATGATGCGTGAGAAAAACGTTGGAGTACAGCTAATTTATTCAACAGCTATGGACATCTACTCAGCATAACCGACCACAAAAAATCCTAAAGGAGCCGAAGAAAAATATACGGAAGCATTAAATATCAAAAATTAAATAATTTCCTTGGACATTTTCACATCAGACTGAATTGAAAACTTCAGGATGTAGTTATCAACATAACTCGTCTTCTGTGCAGCTTTATACATCCTATATACAGTTGTTTTCATTTTCTGCTATTCCCGTTGGTTTTTTATACGCAAAATGTTTCGAATCTACGACACATGTTCTCTCAATGCCGTAGAAAAAAGGAAAAGGGGGTGGTGAATTGGGTGCCATAGTACGACGACTTTCTCCCAACCCCCAGAGAAAAGGTTTTTCTCCCTAAGCATTTACCAACAGATGTAGTAGAAATCAAATTATCCGCATCTTACGTCCAAAAAATGTTTCAAAATCAACTAAATATAACTAGTAGTGAATTATTCGTCAGTTTTCTTCAAGCACTGTTATTTATAAAATTATTAAAATTATTTGTAAAAGTTTCTTCATGGAAGGATTTTTTAAATTTAACACTATCTCATATTGATCCATCAGAATTTCTAAGAAGAAAAAGACTACTCGATATATTTAAAGCACAAATTTATCACGGATTTAGTAACTATGGTTATGTCACACTGATTTAAACATAAAAGCTTATTGGGTAAACAAATTAAATTCATGGATGCGATTATTGCTAAATGAAAATAAAACTAACATAATTGAACGGTATGTTAACTGCCCGCCTTGAATAGCTGGGATCTACAGTATGCCCAGAACAGCTTATGGAAGATGCTTTCACTGAATAAGCAAGAAATACAACTAATTTTATTGGGAAAATCGGGAAATGGTGGATATGAAAACTTCTTTCTTATGTGATATATATATCACTGGTAGTTAGTTGAAGATCTAATAATGAACTGAATATTAAAGGGAAGTCTTCATAGGTTACTGTTAGATTCAACTGTTCGTCCTAATGTTATTTATAAAAAATAAATTTTTCTTGTTTATGTTTATTAAAGGTAAAAGTGCAGTTGGAAATACACCTCGAAAATAAGTCGATTCTTTAGGATGGTGCTCCACGGAAATGGTGCTAAGGCGAAAGTCGCTTTCGTGATATGGTGACGCCAGTAACTGATGCTTGTTTTAGGGCTTCCCGTAAAACTCTTAACTAATAACTCTTGATTGGAACATCACTCAGAGCTGGTAGATATCTTATTTTAATCAAAAATGTTTGCTCTATTTCTTGGTGTTATTGAAAGTAGCCGCAGATCTGTTTATCAATCCTCCCCAAGTCCGTTTACTGTGTGAATTTGATACAGGCAGAATCTCTTTCATGCACGAGGTATTTTCTAGCTTACCTCACGCAGCCATCAGTCAATGAGAATGTGGTGTCGTGAGAGACCAAAATTTTGGCTGTTGTAGCACTTAATAAGTCATTAAATATGTTGATAGTTTGTTCGAGTGCACAAATGAAGGTCAAATGTGAAGTGATTGTAAATTCTGTTATAAATGAATTTTGATTCAATGCTAATTTATACAAATCATACAGTTCATCTTAAATTAATTTAAATTTGTTTAGCTGTTTACGTTGATGATATCTGACTTGATTGGGATTGATTGAGATAGTAGCATCAACTGCTGTTGCAATTAATTTGTCATATGTTAATATAAGTCATTAGTTTCAACAAAGTTATCAACTGTGTGTAAAATAGATGGTGGTGGGTTGTTTTTTGATTTAATTCCGTTTGATGAAGAATCTGCACAACAAAAAAATCTAAGTTACAATCGCACCGACACACGTACCAATATATTGAACAATAACCTGACACGGGTGGCTTATTAATACATATGATTTTTTAATGAATTTAGACTTTATACGCTTAATTATTTTTCGGTTCGTCTTTAGACAAAAATAATATGTATTAAAAACTGAAAGATGATCAACACATGTAAGTTTTTTCCCACTTCTACAGTTTTGAGCTATGAGTTGGTTTTTCACCGAATGCACTGTAAAAAATAAAGTGTGCCCGGTAGTGTGCATTCTCCCAAGTGTGCATTTTGAGTCCAAAATGGTGTGCAAATTGTCACTGTGTAATGTGAATTTTTATCTTGCATTTCTCTACGGAAAAGAAACAGAAGAATTATTCTTTTCTGCGGTCTTTTTTCTCGTTCTCTCTATGCAAGCTATATGTGCAATTCCAGTGTGTTACAGGCACACTGAACAAGCCGTTTTCGGTGTGCAAAAAAAGTCCAAGTTCAGTGTGCCCCGGGCACACTTTATTTTTTACAGTGTGGTGAAAACTCAAGTCTCTAGCCTTGTTAGAAAAAAAGTTATAGCCATTTTACCCTCGCAGCGGAAAAATGCATTTTCGTCGTTGTCCGGCGGATTTGGCCTAACTCGTAAAATGCCTGCTGACCGCATTCCCTAACGTAGAACCTTGAAGTTGTTATCAAATGAAAGAGCGCGTCGAGTTCTATATATCTCGATGGGGAAAAGTTATGCTACACCTCGGAGTCTTGAGATAGAAATTTCGGTTTTCTAGAAAATCTACTGATCTTAAAATTTCTTTCAGACGTTTTCCAACCATATCATTGGATGACCCCTTCAATTCTCCACAAAATGAGATGACGGCCAAGTTACATGCTTTTATCATCACGAGCTTTTTGATACAACGTTGTGGAGGAACATAACGTTTATGTTTATTAGTTGGTGTACTACATTGTGTGTCGCATTGAGGTCTATAGTGCCATCAGACACAATAATGATATAAGTCTAATAGAAACGTAAAAAATAAAAATTTCAATGATATGGCACAAACAACAGCCGTTCCTCCGCGTTTGTGTTACTACCTGCTCATGCGTATCGAGCAATAGCAATAATCCGAAAAACAACGCAGACACATAGAAATGAAAGCCTTATTAGAAATCGAAGTTTTGGCCTATTTCTACCAGAACTTTCAACATGGACAATTATAGCTTAATTATATTAATCTCTAATGGTTTACTTTTCCACATATGTTTCAGAGTACGTCCTGTTGATTGGTCATTGTATGAATGTACTCTATTATTTTGAAAAATGAATAAATATGAATGAATAGGCTGTCGAGATCAATGCTGATAGACTGCTAGGAATTTAAGATGTGGTAGTCAACGTTCAATTTATAAAGTAGCAGAAACATTAATAGTAAAACAATAGACTCTTCGTGGCCGGATTCAGTAGTTATCTTCCCAAAATCATGTAGGCCATTTTCCTACTTAATTCGTTCACCATCCTTCCGGACAAGGGTATTTCACAAGCTTTCTTTTGGTCAAAAAACGTTTTTGCATGGTACTTATTTGTCCAGCAACAAAAAAAAACATAACTGGTCAGAATACGACACTTTTCTTATTCAAAAAATGGTGGTATATCCGTCCAGATAACAATGCTAACAGTTTCCAGTATATATATACCATTATTTATTTAAAGAGGATTATACTATTGAAAATACTTTTTCTCCTGAGTACTAAACTTGATGTTGCTAATAAACACGTGCACAATACAAAAGAAAAATATAGATGGTATTCTTGTAGATAAGAAAGAAAGAGAAGAGTAGAAGCATCGAAAAGATTTTTTAATGATTATTTTCTATATACGTATAAAGTTTCTAAACATAGATAGATAATATGGTAATGATGAGAAAAATAATATGATGAGTTATGAAGCAAAGCATTTTTTGTTCTCAATGTATTGATGTATCGTATTCAGACGATGTATATTTTTTCTTCTGTTTACAAGTAGGAAATGAAAAAATGTGACTCTCATCGTGCGTCACCATACTTTCACCACAAGGCCAGCTAACCTTTATACTTCAGTTTTACTAGAGTATCTACCGAAAAGAAGTATATATATATATGGCACGGCACATCCATAACTTCTTGGAATGAAACTGAGACATCTTTTTGCACAAATTTCGACAGCAACTGTAAAGTTATGAACTAGACAACGAGATTAGGTATCTACGATCGAATTTCTACAGATCGAGTCATTTCGAAACGTTTACTCACATTCAAGATTAATTAGTCAATAATGTCCATACTATACACATAAGCTCCTTTTATATAAACTTCATAACAAAGACAGCTTCAGTATTTCAGAACATGTATCTAAACTTAATGATGGAGTAAGCAACTAGGATATTTTCAAGTTGATTATTTTGGGACAGAATTGAAGAAACTCTGTTTGTATTTGATTAATATCATTTGACTTTTTCTTTATTAAATAGGTCATCATGTTCATAACATTAAAACGTTTGCACGATTCCCTCATTCTTCATTATGCTCTTGAATTGTGAATCACTTTTCTAAAATATTTTTTTCTTAATAAAACAATGTGGTTATAACAAGTTTCAAATAATATTTTCATGCGTGATAAGTATATCGTATCACATTGAAATGGTAACCATTTTTTAATGAAAAATATTGATACATAAAATTTGAAATACAATTGGAATGTTTCTTCAAATAATTTAATTTTATTAAAATAAGTATCAAATAAAAGTATTGTTTCACTAGTTGTTAAAATAGCTTGTTGAAAATGATAATTATTTAAAATACTAATATCATTTTGCAAATTCTTATATAACTGATGATAATTTAGTATTTGTCTATTATTCTTACGCAATACTGTAGGAAATTGCCAATTATGAATGATCTCAATTAACATTTCAACGACTTTTATAGTGTTGTAACAAGCATTAGCATAATACATTCTTTTCTCATCATCTAAAGCACGCATTTGATAATAAGTTACCATTATCATACATGTGTTTAGTGCTTCAGAACGATTTATTCCAAACTGTATATCATACATTTTTTTCAAATATAATAATGCTGATGATATGTCATCAAGTTTAATGTATAAATGTTGTATTTGATTGTATGTTATAACTGAACCATTTAATTCGATATCGAGTTTCTTTTTATAATAGTAAATTGCGGTTGAATAATCAAATTTTTGTTCATGAAATTTGCCCATCTTGTTATATAAACATAAAAATGATGAATGATTGAATGGTAAACATTCATTAGCAATTTTATATATAAATTCAATCGATTTATTTTGCGTTAACATTTCATTCCATAAAAATTCATAGGACTCATTATCATTAGGAGATAAACATTCAAAACTAACTCGTAGAGCATTTTTGCACATATTTATGTTAAGGTTAATCTTTTCATATAAATGCAAAAGCACTATCGCAATTTCAACTGTTTTCTCGATGTTGTTTTCCATTGACAACATTGCATCAAATTTTTTTTCATAAATAATGGAAATGTCGCTAAATGTCAAATCACCATCAACAACAGCTGTAAAAGAATTATTTTCATAAAATTGAAATAATTTGGTGATTATAGTTCTAAATGAATTTTGAAAACGTGCAGCAACACACTCCATGTTATCGGTTTGTGATACCCTGTTCATTACAGAAAATATATTTTCATATAATAGTTGAAATGATGGATGATCAGACGGATAACATTTTAAACAAATTTGAAATAATTCGGTTTTTTCATATTCTTCTCGTTTCAACAATCGAAGATGTCTATAACAATCGTTCAGTTCATGTCTAAACAGTTTAGAGACTAATCAATAACGACGCCCAATTTGAGAGGAAAAAACTTCTCAGAAAAAATGAGAAAAATCTGGCAAAGAAGAATAGAACAATGAAATTATAGAATTTAACCAACTTATGTTTCGTCATTTCTACGTACAAACGATTGCAGTTCGAACTCGATTATAGTTGTCTTAAACACGACTCCATCTAATTTAAGTTTCTTTCGGTTTTTGAGAAACAGAAATAATTAAACTATGTTTCTTATTCCTGTCACTGATTTGAATTTTTCTATTAAATCAGCCGCATACATTTAATTAGATCATTATTCGAACAGACACGTGACAGTCGTCCCGGTTCCATAACAACAGGCAAATAAAGGTTTTTAGAGGAAAAAGAACAGAAAATAATTGTATTTTGAAAAACTGATTGGAGTTTTTTTAGATACAGAGAATTAAAACTAAAACAGTTTTCACTCGTTGCAGTTTTCCTGTTCATTTTGATTCTACAGGAATGAAATTTTTCAGAAAGTGCAAGACAGCAATTTTCCAAGCTTCAGACGAAGAAAAAAATCAAAAAACTCGATCGTTGTTCTTGTTCTATAGGTCTATATAAAGTGCATGATAATACACACTTAAAATTAGAATAATACAACTGTGTGACAACGGTTGTAAAGAGGAACTCAAAACAAGTTCTTCGCGGAAATGAAGAACAAAAATGAGTTTTTCTACATGGTGTTTATGGAAAGCAAATATCTACGCGTATTCAACTTCCAAACGGCTTCCTTCTCGAGTTTATTTGCAATGTCAAGGTAACGGCCTCAGCTAGTGTGTAATGAAAGAGCAGGAGGAAAAGAGAAACAATTCGGCATTTAATGTACGTATTCTAATAATCAATTAAAGGTAAGACTACAACCTTTGTCGTTTAAATATTAGTAGAATGAATGTAATAATGCACTTAGTCATAAAAGTTGCATATAAAAAGACCAGTATATAGCAATAAATAAGATAAGACAAGATAAGATTTTATTTTACTCAAGGGCAGAATAGCACAAAAAAACAAAAAACTTGTGGCAACCGGTGGTATAATCTAAGTTGAATGTTCGCTTCCACATAACTTTCTAAACACTGGTTTTCTCACAGAAGAGAGTATGTCGAATTTTAGCCGGTTACTGATTAAAAATAAAACTACGCACTAAAATGCGAAAGTAAATCATGATAATGACAAAGAAAATGCTTCAGGATTTAGATCAGGTTCCAGATCTCTACACAGGACCTCCGCAGTTTATAACTAGTTATCAATGAAATGTCGACTATTAACAGTATTGGTAATCGTAAAATGGTTGCAGAGGCCCATTAAATGAAATTTTGATTCTGATAGATTCCTGAGCAGCTTCCAGGGCATTGTATCTACCATGATTTTGTTTCGCATATGATAATTTTGACTTTTGAGTAGCTTCCACATCTCTTTCCTAAAAGCCTATTGAAACGCAAGGAAGTCATTGGAAGTATCGAAATTAGGAAAGAAAAAGATGCGAGCTGTCGAAATAAGGAAGAAGATATAATTTCGATACACATATAAGTTCTTCGCTGAAGAAGACCGTGAAAACATGTGCTCTTTCCAGCAAAAATATATGGTTCAATTCGTCGTAGTTTTCTGAGTATTCCTATATAAAGTTGAGAAGGTTTTGATCAATTTGGTAAACCAAAAATACTTTATATTTGACATACGTGTAAAAACTCCATGTGATTTATGTGGGAATGTCAAAATTAGGAAGAAAAAATACGTGGCATGTAGAAATTAGGAAAGGACAAAAAATAAAAAACTTCGAGACACATGTTTATTCTAACTCTTTTATCTCAATTAATATAAGCGGTAACTCAAATATTTTTACATAGATCGACAGGCCTGAATATCAGCTATGTCGCTATATAAAGCGTTTTATTGAATCTTAAAAACTAACTGAGAAAAACACGAAATACTAAAATATTTAGTGTTGAAATTAGGGTATGTGACTCATAAAGTTAAAAAGACCGGGATTTTCATAGCACATCTGTTCTCATTGATGAATCTCTAATTACAAACAAGTTTTTAAACTACAATTACTCGTGTGTTATGTTAGTGTATAAGTGCGGTCGATTATGTACACGCAAATGAAGCAGTTTGACAGTCGGGAGTAAGAGACTTTTAGTAAATTTAGACTGACTACATTCTATGCTACGATCCTCCGGCCTTAATCTCACATTGAAAAGAAAATTGGATTTGTTGGCCTATTGCAACTAGGCATGCATCGGTTTGCAACGCAAGGACCAAAAGTGGCCTAAAGCTCCCCTCCCTGCAAACATTCAGAATTCATTTTTGTAACACCTAGAATCAAACCTGGGTGCATAGATTTTCTTTCTTTGAAAAATATTGTTTCCTTCGCTTAGGAGAATCAAAATACTGGAAGTCCTGTCAAAAAACGTATTGTTTTGCTTAGGGCAAATTTTGTAAAGTCTGCCAGAAATCACCAGAACAATTGTCATGTGCTATTCACTAAGAACTGGGTTTTTTCCCACTACGAAAAAGAAAATAGGAAAGATGGGTTTTCTCCCACTACGAAAACCAAACATAGATGGCTTTGTACTTTCCTTATCCAGGCTGTTT